GACCCGTCCACCACCACTCTCTGGGTGCGGCCCTCCAGCCAGCTGGCAACCCAATTGACTGTGTAGGTGTCAACACCACAGCCCCCCAGTTTCTTCATGAGAACAGGGTGAGAGACAGTGTCGAAGGCCTTCTGAGAGTCCAGGAAGACGATGTCCACTGCTACCCCTGCATCTAGGGATTTGGTGATCTAGTCGTAGAAGGCCACCAGGTTGGTCTGACAGGACTTGCCCCTAATGAACCCGTGTTGGTTGCCCCCAAGCATAATCTCCCCCTCTGCCCTCTCGTGGCCATGTGCCAGAATAATTCTCTCAAAAAGCTAACCCAAGATCAAGGTAAGACTAACTGGCCTACAGTTCCCCGGGTCCTCCTTCCTCCCTTTTTTGGAGATGGGAACCACGCTGGTCCTCTTCCAGTCCTCTGGCACCACACCAGAGGACCACGCGTTCTCGTAAAGCCGCGCCAGAGGTTCCGCAATGACCTCAGCCAATTCCCTCAGCACTCGGAGGTGGAGATCGTCCAGCTGATTTAAATACATCCAGTCCCTCCAGAAATTCCTAACTAGATCTTCACTGACCCTTTTTAAAGCCTTAAAGATCACCTTAAAATCATAATTAAGCACTCAGCACATGAAAGCTCATTTTAACAGCTGTTACATTATACAGTCTGGCTGCAAGCAGGGGGGCCTGCCGATGCAGAGAAGATCCTTAACGACTGACACCTGGACAAGCGCAGAGACAAGCTCTTTGTCAGACTGGGACATCGTGGTAAAACCGTAGATTGTAATAAAGAAGAGCAGCCCAGAGAGGCGTACCTTGTAGCCGCCCCAGACATACATGCACTGTCCATCAGTCACCGCCACGTGGCCGCTGCGCTCTGCAGGGCTGTCGATCTCCAGCTGCTCGAAGCCGTCCTCAGCCGGGGCGGGGACCTCTTCATCTGCCTGTAGCTCCTCGTTGTCATCCGCCATTTTGACACCACCCTGCGCTCACGAGACAAGACGAGACGGTCAGGGCAAATGCCATTCCTTTCACGAGGGGATGTGGGCTCATGTGGGTAAAGCGCCGGTCCTGCGACACGCGGGTTTCAGCAGGGCGCCCGAGTCCCAGCTGCCATCTGCAACCGTCTCCCCCACGTTTTGCGTTGCTTCAGTCGTGAGCGTATCAGCTGATGGCAGAATATGCCATGCACATGCAGTGAAACCAGGTTCAGAGACCAGGCTTACACACTATGGGGTTTCTTGGGAAAAGTCCCCGTTGCTGCACCGGGAGCCCCCGCATCCAGCCACTACGCTGCCAACCCAAGGAGCCCTTGCGGAGGAAAGAAGAAAAAATCCCCGTAAACCCTCCCGAGCATGAAGCAGATGAGACGAAAGACACCCGGGAAGTCCAGGACCTGGCGCAGGAAGTGAGAGCGGGACAGGCCACAACGGGCCGTGCGGACCGGCCCGGCTCGGTGCCGGGGGAGCACGGAACGGGCCGTGGGGCCGGTCGCTCACGCTGGGGCGCTGACGACGCGGCTCCAGGAGCGCGGGACTCGCGTGTCCCGGCCACCGCGACCACAGTCCGACCCCTGCACCCTCCCAGGCGACTCCGCCCGCCCGCCTCACGGAGGGAGCCCGCGGCAGCACGCAGGGCCCCTAGCCGGGCGTTCTTCGTAACGTCCAAGTCGCTGCGGCCGGAGCGAGCTGCCCCGTGGTGCCCCTGCCCCCGGACACCAGGCCCGCTCCGTCCCTTCTGCACCCCGCAGGGCCCCGCCCCGCCCGGGTTGAGGGGCCGGGTCGGATCCTGCCGCCTACTTACCCCCCGCTGCTCCTCTCAGCAACTGCCCACACACCCACATCCGGCGCTGCGGCCCACACTTCCGGCGCTAGCCCCGCCCCCATATCCGTTGCCACGGCCCGCACTTCCGGCGCTGCCCCCCCACCCTCACTGGGCTGCGCACGCAGCCCCCGCGGCTCGGCCACGCCCCCGGCTACCCCGGCGCCCCCTGGCAGCGCGGTAGGCAGCCTTTGGCGACGCGTGCGCGTGTGGGCGTGCTGCGGTCTCTTGTATTTTTCTCCTGGAAACAAGCAAATATGTGATTTCCTCCGTCCTCGTTTCCGAAACCGGGGATCCCTGCACGTGACAGTGGGGCGATGAGGGGAGTCCGGGACAGATGCTGCCCGGGGTCTTTCAGGACTCGATGTTCATGTTGTGGGACCGTCCTGCTCAGTTAGGGAGGGGTGGTCACGGGTCACCTGACCAGCAGCTCTGTTTTGTGGTGCACTGCGCATCTGGCCCTGAATGAGGAGCTGGGTTTGGGCCGGGGTCATGGGCAAAATCCTTTTTGGGTCAGGGCAAAATGCAGGTCTCCACCACCCGGGGCTCCGCCGCAGCCCTGCCTGCCCCGAAGCTTGGCTTTCGCAAGCCAGCCTGACGATTCGTGGTCCCGCAGGCCTGCATGTTAAATGCGTTGCCCGTGTATATGGAGCTGAGTTCGGGGTGGGATTAGGGGGCGAAATCCTCCTGGGGTCACCCCAGGCCACACGTCTCCAGCCCTGGCGACTCTCCTGAAAGCCCCGCGCAGAGAGCAGTGCGACCAGAAGGGCCGTTTTCACATGACAGCCCCCAGGCCTGTGCGCTACCTACGTTGCTGAGAGAAAGGAGCTGAGTTTGGCTGGGGTTACGGGGCAAAAAGCTCCTTGGATAAGCCCCAAATACATGTCTGTGCCACCAAGGGACTCGCCGGCAGATGCCCGGGCAGTCCCCCCTCCCACCCAAAGCTCAGGGTTTGTGCGCCTGCCTGCCAGCCAACTAACAGACCCCAGCCTTACATGCTAAGGATGTGACGGGCTAGCTCACAGTGACCTGGCCCAGGGGTTTTGAAAGGGAAAAGATGATTGGAGGACTTGGGATTCCCTTTCCTCACCAGTCAGGCCCCAGAGACTCACCCTCTGTGTCCCCTGATAGGCCCCTGGGGTTACCAGGAGGGGGATAAAAGGGGCAGCGCGGCTGACTCAGGGGAGACCGGTAAGGGACTAGGAGGAAGGAGTTTCAAAGAGCTGGGCTGGGGGGCAGGAGCAGTGCCCGAGAAGAGCCTAGAGGAGTGGGACCTGCAGGCAGCAGTGGGACCCTCTGCAGTGCAGCGTGCGGCTGGCAAGAGAGGCTCCCGCTGGGCTCCAGGATCTCCTGGGAGAGGCTGCAGCCAGCAGGAGAGGCTCCCCTGCTCCAGCCAGGATCTGAGCAGTGACCTGAGGGGTTCCCAGCTCTGCTTCCAGCTTCTCTAATCAGAGGCCAGGCAGCACGACGTGAGGAAGGTCAAGACCCCTCGCAGGCTGGAGTAGCACCTATCCTGGTGGCTGTGGGGTAGAGTTTCTGCCTGCCACATGGGAGAGCTGGGTTCAAGTTTGAGTTTCTGGTGACTGGGGGTGAGTGAGCTAATGGGGAGAAATTCCTCTGGTTGTGGAAAGGAGCCATTGTGTTCTCCCCCTCTAGGTACCTAGGCCCTATATTTCTTGTCATTTGACATTTTGTGCCTTTTGTATTTCCAGTAATACCAACCAGTATTGTTTGTTCAGCTGTCTGTGTTTTACATTTTGGTTAACCCTATCTTTTGTCAACTGGATGAATGTGTCTGTGGTTGTAAGCGTCTAACCATTGAATCCTGCCCCTTCAGGGCATTGTAGTGTCCCCTATACCCCCTGGTTTATACCGGTTATGTTCCCAGTATTGTTCCCTCATTACAAGGTATATGGTTAAGTCCCCATTGGTGGTCTGGCTCTGCTCTATAGGGGGAGGAGAGTCCCTACACCTCCCACAGCGCTTGTGCACCTGCTCTGATCCCTTCAGTTGGAGAGGGGGTACCTCTTGGAGTATCGCCCGGGTTACAAGGACATTGCACAAACTATGCTGCTTTTGGGCTGGGATTATGGGGCAAAACCCCAAACCAGACATCCCTGCCACTGGGGGATTCTCTGGAAGAAACCTGCGTAGGTTCCAGCCTGACTTGAGTCTAGTTTTTGAGTACCAGACTGCCATCTGACATGCGTCCACCCTGGCCTGTGCTATGTGCATAACCCCAATAAGGAGCTGAGTTTAGGCCAGAATTACAGGGCAAAATCCCAAAACACAAATTGTGGCCACCCAGAGACTCTCCTGAAGAAGCCTGGGAGGCCTCTGCCTGACCCGAAGCTTGGTTTTTGTGTGCCAGCCTCTCAACTGATGGCCCCACAGAGCTGATATGCACAGTGACCCAAAAAACAAGATGATTTTTGGGCTGTGACTATGCGTGAAAATCCTTTTCACATTACCCCAAACCACATGTCCCCACCACTGGGGGACTCTTTCGAAGAAGACAGTCAGATATATTTGCAAATGTATCAGAGTTTGCTAAAACAAAGATTTTTCTCATTGCAGGCACAAAGCAGTTGGGGTAACGTATGATACTGGCAACTGTTTTGTGTTTCCACATCCTTGGTGAGACTGAAAACTGGGTTTTTAGAAATAAGAAAGGCTGGACGTGGAGAGGCACAGGCTACGGAAGAAGAGTTCTCCAAAGCTCTTAGGAAGTAAAGCGTCCCAAGCCATGTCATTGCTCTACAAATGTCTCACAAACAGTAAGGACACCAGCAAGGGCATGCACGGATAGTGACATACAAAGCTTCCCCTCAGGAATTAGGAATGTGGTGCTGGTACTCCTCCAGGTCAGGTCCAGTTTACCTGCTACCATAACTTACAGTCGATGGGACTACCTGTGACTTATCGCTGAGTGCTGGGCGTGGCTCTAGGGTGCCAATGGCTTTGTGCAGAAGAGCACCTTGAGGGTACTACTCTTAGAATCACAGACTCTTAGAAAATGGGGATTGGAGGGACCTTAGGAGGTCACATCTAGTCCAACCCCCTGCTCCAAGCAGGACCAGCCCCAACTACATCATCCCAGCCAAGGCTTTGTCTAGCCAGGTCTTAAACACCTCCAAGGATAGAGATGTCTTACCCCTGGTGGAGGAAATGCTGCCAGAAAGTTGTGGAAGTGAGGTCCACTCCATGACTGGGTAGACTGGGTTTTTTAACCCTAGTCAGAAGCCAGTCAAGAGCAGAGCCCCAACAGAGGGACAAATGGAAGATCTCCTTTGCACCGACAGCCCCTGCAGCCAAGCGGGCTCCAAACGTACTGGCACCTGCCTTTCCTTTGGACTAAAGCAGCAAGGCTGAGAGGGGGACACTGGCGCATAGGCAGCTCGCTGTCTCCATATACACTGCCCAGGCTTGTGTGCTCTGGAGAGGTCACTCCAGCCTCGCTGTATCTTTCAAGCAAGGATTACGTTCAGCCAGCTGATGCCTCACTCAGCCTAATTCTATTGTCCCGTGAGTCAGACAGATGCGTACCGCTGCTACTCCTGGTGCTGATACAGGGATTTTCAGTTCTCATCTGTCTTTTGTGTTCTGTTATTGGAAGGAATAGTATGCATCAGTTATGATCATTCATTTTTGCAATTAATACCATATTTGCCTGAATCCAAGAAGGCTTTGAATGTAGGATGACCACCCCAAATAGGTAGATTTCATATACAGAAAATGATAACATTATAATTCTATAACTTGCTGTAAATTCCCATATATAGAGTCCTCATTATTGGAGGGTTTTCTTAAATCTGCCCCCAGCTGTGGAAGAGGACAGCAGGCAGCCTGCCCCTGCCCCTTGCTCCCCTGCTATTTGTCCCTCACGCCTGTGCATTGCCACCTGTCCCCTGATCCACAGCGCACCACTGGCCCCCATTCACCTGTGCCCCCACCCGATTCTCAGCCCACGCTGCTGCCTGATCCCCATCACATGCTGCTGCCCACCCTTGCTGCTGCTCGATCCCCAGCACCTGCTGCCTCCCGTTCCCAATGCATGCTGCTGCCCCATGCCCTGCCAGATCCCTGCCCTAGACGACTGCTTGCTCCTGGACCTAACTGGAGACAGAGTGCTGGTACTCAGATCCAAGATGAGGCATGCTTTCCCCATGCTGTTCATCTT